GTGTGTGTGTGTGTGTGTGTGTGTGTGTATGTTTGTACGTTACAATGTACATGTATATGTATTTATATGGTAAAGAAGTAGCTGGTAGAATATATGGCCACGGACTGGGACTGGGAGACAGGGGCGGCTCGTGGGGCTAAAAAGTGGGCGTGCACAATTAGGCAACAGCAGGTTGAAGATAATCAAGGGCATAGTAAATGGGATGGTAGGATCTTTGGTTGGTGAAGGAGGACCTTATGCGTTTATTTTCATTCTTTTTACTGGTCGTTTTGATTTCTAGAACTAAATCTGTTTGTTAGCTTAATATCAATTTCTTTATCCTGCATTGGAACTGAACACTCGAGTAATAACTTTCACCACTCCACTACAAAACCATTCGAAGACACAACTCAGAGGGCGGTGACTTAAGTATGTCACGTTCACCTCCCTCAGGTTCACGGTCACAGAGTCGCTTAAAATAGTGACAAGACTATGAACCAATCACAATTCACCTGAGAACTCCGCTGGATTGCTCAGGGGATCACATAATTTTGGCATTGAATAGGCTAGTGTACAGGCTATCGCGTTTTAGACTGCCTACTGTGGGCTATGTTTCGTGGGTGCACATTTGAGATGTGCCGTCTTGTTAATATTAATGTACCGCCAAACTCGCTACGAGTGTCGTCATCGCTTGGATTATCCCAAAGAGCGATTTATAGGTCAGATAGCCGCAGTTGAATATTCTATGTCGTTTAGTTAAAGCGCGTGGACTTTGGCATGGCATAGTAGATGTTTTACGGCGCTTTTGACACAGAAATTACAGTTACAGCGCCTGCAGTGACCTTGTGTTGCTACATGTATTATATTTGGCTAGTGTTTGTTTCTGACTTCTTTTATTTCATGTTTGTGGGTGCTTTTCGTAATAGAACATTTTAAAAAATGGGCAGCACTGCACGACCGTGCTCTATGGACGAACCGCGCCTGCTGGGAGAGATCAAGCATGTTTGGGCAATCATGGTGACGATGGAATTAGTCTTGAAACGGTTTCATGAACAATTCATATGGCGACAGCACTAGCCAAACTAAAGACCTTTTAGCAAACTGATATAAAAACATCACAATGAAGAGAAGACTGTGGCACAGAACACAGGCTCTAGAAATGTGACGCAATTGTTTGAAGGTTGGCCCATCTTACGTGGGCCAATTATACAAGAGAAAGTAATATCCTCTGTCCCACTTTCCCATATATCTCATACCAGTAAAGAAAAAAGAAGTGATACAGCACGGCCACATTGCAGGATCCAGTGGCCTTGGAAAGACCTTTGTTGAAGGAACGAGAAGGCAGAGAAGCAGACAAAATAAACAGACTGTCGACAGACAATATACTGAGTTTACATCAATGCCTTTTGCAAAGACCTCGTTCTTGACGGGAAGTAGTTTCGGGGGGGAAAAACATAGTGGATTGTGCAGGAAATACAACCGCTATAAAAATGGCCTGTATGAACCATAACAACACACAGCTACGCCATATCTTATGAGTAAAGGCATAAGTAGAGAAATAAAGATAAAGTAAGGAAGAAGAAAAAAAAAGAAAAGAAACGAACCCACCGCCCAGTCAAAGATGAAAATAATATAAACTAATAAAGCGTGCCAAGTTTAAGAGTTTCTGACCACCTCCACCCCGTCTCCGACCAACACTTCACTCTAGAGCAGAGAGAAGTGGGGGAGGGCATAGACAGAGAGAGAGAGACATAGAGACAGAGAGACACAGAGAGAGAGGGGG